ATTGTGGGCCGTTAGATTTTCATCCAACGGCTATAATTATTATAACTTTAAAGAAACCCTCTGTTTGTAGCTCACAATCCTTGATCAGGAGGATCCTCTCTTTGGGATCAGGAGTGGATCCAAATCCATTGAAGTCGTAGTTCATAGAAAATTGTGTTAGAACCTCCACCGCTAGTTTCTTGTTCCAATATATATAACAAGATTGTTGTCCCAGTCATGATTCACTTATCTTATGATTTATTTTAGTAAAATTTTTTTTTCCTTGACAAAGCAATCACAGCCAAAGCTTTGCCAATCAGCGTACGAGGAGAGCCGGAGGCAACGCGTTTTTAGCACATGTGACATGACTAAACATATTTACTCTTGTATCCCATGTTGACATTGAGGAGCAAGTCCAGCGGAAGCTTTGGCCCGGTGGATAGGGACCTTTTCAACCCAATCCCTTTTCTTCTTTGCTCCAGTTTATGCGGACAATTAAGCTCGCGGCGCGGGGGGGGGGGCCGCTGTAGGAAAGGGGAGACAGGAATCCATGACCCGAGAGCTGTAGGAAAGGGGAGACAGGAATCCATGACCCGAGAGCGTGAGGGATGCTGATGCAAGGCTGATATTATGATGACGTTAGCTACATTATAAAATTAATAAAAATTTAATAATAAAAATTCCGAAAAAATAAAAAAAAAGATTTAATTTTTCTATAAATATCTTATCATTATCTTCCAACTTACACCACAATTTTATATTTTCTCAAATACTTTGGTTGTAATTTCTTATTTAATGACACGTGGTACAACGAGACTGATTAAAAATCCTATCCAAAATTACAAATATATATTTTTATTTTATAAAATAAAAAATACTAATATTTTATTGCCTATTGTCATGACTATTCAGTTTAGGGGTGGAGATATAAAAGGCAATTATTGTTCATTAAAGGTAGTTACTATTCATTGGAGGGGATTCAATAGGCAGTTACCCTATGGGGCCTTCCAACACTGGAAGTGCTCTTATAGGTGGATTTTGCATCTTTTAGTACGCCTTCAGGTTTCATCTGTAGGCAAGCAACTGAACAGAGTTATGTATTGGTTGCCCATTTTCGGCATTTGGTTTGTAACATATGTTGGAAATGTGTCATAAAGCTAATCGTGAGATGATACTTTGCAGACATTTACATATTAAATTATTTTAGTTTAAATATAAGGGCAAAGATTTATCGTTTAAAGCTTTTTCTTTAAATGTTACACGCTTAAAGTATAAGTACAAGGAATATGTAATTAAGAGAATGTAATAAAAAAGAAGTTAAGAGTCATGAGACATTTTTCTTTCATATGCATATCCTGAATGTTTTTTTATATAGAATTGTCAATTGGGTATTGACTATCCAGATAGATCAATACATCCTATCTTTTTTCTCTGCAGAGTGGCTGGTCTCGAGTCATTGGTGTAAGAAACACCTAGCCTTTCTCTGGGACCCTTTGTTCTTTTTTACACGCCCACTTTGTTTGATTATTTAATAAAATCTCGTTTATTCTGAAGAGAAAAAAAAAAAAAACACACACACACACACACACACAACATATGAGGAGGAGAACAACTTATATGAAATCAATTTACCTTCACGTGACATCCTAATCTAATAACATAAAATCACGAGTTGAAAAAACTTTTATATATCATTATTTTATTAAAAACAAAAAGTCACGGTTTGTTTCATATAACTCATTCTCTATGAAAAGCAGATTGAGCATTTAGCGGTGGAACAAAGCATGATTCTAAAACTGCACCATAGTATAACGTACAAACGTTAAGAACGCCAGAGAATCTGCGAAAAAAATCGGTGGTAGAGTTGTCCTTTGGAAAAAGGCGTTGAGTTTCCAATTTCATCGGCGTAACTCTTGGAGCTGCTGAATTTAGTGAGGCAGAAGCAGCAGCCCCATGAGATATAAATATCTATATAAAATACCAGTAACGAATTCATTCGTCTCATAAAGGACATTATTCCCCTACCACATATATAGACAAGACAGACTATACGTTATAAAGTATATATGAAATACTACGTTACTTACCGCATTTAAATAAAAATTCACAAAGGCATGCAAAGCATTTGGGCCATTGGAACTAAGTCAAATAATTTCTTACATGATTTGTTAATTTGACATGAAACGATATAAAAATTACATGTTTTGGGTCAACTATTAAGAACTCATTAAGAAGTCGGGTTGTAATCGGGATGAACCTATAAGACATCATTTGCTTAATCTCACATGGTGATATTCTATCTTTCCAGGAGTACAACCTGTATGTAGTCTATCTTCCTAGGGAGCATACTTTACAAGAGATAGACGTTAGGCATAGAAATTTTTTGCATGACTTATTAACCCGAAGCGAAATGACATGAACCGTTAACGAATTTGGTCGTTATCAAGTCACATGTTAAAAACCCATTAAAATAATGAGTTTGACACGACACGACAAGTTAAAATAACGAATTTAACACAAATACGACAAACACGACCTGTTTGTCAAGTTTAATTGGGAACCCAACCCCACAGTCCCTCACCCACCCTAATAATTTCTTTTAGTTGCGAATAAAACCCTTTAAATTTGACACTTTCTCATATTGGACTCGTATGGACATCATACTCGGTTAATGTGGCATTGATTAATTAGTTTTTTTTTGTTTAAATTACAAGGACAGACGGAGGATGATGGGGTCTTCAAGTGGCACTCTATGTTGGCTCCACGAGTATGCTTGGCTATTTTTGTGTTTATATTTTTTCAATCCAAGCGACTGGTTGGACCTCTCTCAAGTCCTCTTCTTTCAATTATATATTATATCATTGTCTTTGTTATTTGTTATTTAGGAGAAAGTTAGCTGCCTTTCTCTTTTTACTTTCTTACGTGTTACGTTATTATCTTGTAACGTAATTGATGATTCGACTCATTTTTATCATTAAATTATATTGCACGATGAGAATAAATCTAGAGAAAATAAAAAGGTAAAACAACTAGCATTCCTCTTATTAACCTGATTGTGAAGGTTGGCCGACCTTAGTCTTAGACAATAATTTATTAGTTTGATTGTCGTATATAGAAACCAGGTTGTCTGAGTTTGATTCACACAATTTTGTTCATGTTTTGGTGTGAGTTTAATAGCTGTCAAGTCTTCCACAGTGATTCAAGTAGTGTGATACCTATTTATAAGAATCATGTATTTTGAGTTTAAATTATACAACACAACTGCTACATTAGTGTGAGTTCAATAATAATGATATCACACTATGAGTTTGATATATTGAACTCAAGATTTCATATTATACTCAAATTCTTTGGCCCATTATAGAAGTGTGATTTCTATATGAGTTCAATATATTAGTATCACACTCACTTTTTTTCGCTAGAAGACCTTAGAGCCGTAACTTTTAATAATCAAACTCATGACACCTGTGTGTTTCACCGAACAATAAAACTCAGTCCTATTAAACTTAGATTTTTCGACTCAATATGAGTGCGATTCTATTTTATAACAATCCAACTCGCCAAACATTGTTATAAAAGTAAAACTAACATAAGGAAAAGTCCAAAATAACATAAGAGTCATATACTTATTAGGAATCGTTTAGAGATGAAACAGTTTCACCGAACTATTGATAGAGTCTTCTAGCATGATCTAATGTTATTCATTTAAAACGTATGTACCACACTGTGATTCAAAATGAAGGCTAGTAAAAGTAAAACTAACATAAGAAAAAGTCTAAAACAGCACAAGTCATAGACTTATTAGGAGTCGTTTAGAGATGAAAGACTTTCACCGAACCATTGATACATCATTCCCTCCTTTATTTATTTCCTTTTATTGTCTATTTCTTACTTAAAGCCTTAAAGGTAGGGCTCCCCATGTCATCCACCACCTCCTCCTTTTGACTTCATTCGTTTTAGATAAAGCTAACCCTCTGTGATGTCTTGAATCATACAGTGTCCACATTTATAATCACAACGCACATATGCACACTTTTCTCGTCACCAAAGCAACCTTAATTCTAGTCTTGGTAGGAAATTTCCATATATATAATCGATCTTCTACGTTCATTCATCTTTGGGACACTTCATTGATAAACTGTCAAATTTCAGAGAGACGGAACAAATGGTAGAACAACAATATTGTTCAAAACTTAACCACCTCTAGTTTAGCAAGAATGAATTTTATCCTAAAAGCATCGATGTAATTAGAAACGGAACCGTGTAATTATAAGTTGTAACTTCTTTTGTTGAACTTCTGACATTGGATTTCCAACCCAATGTTATTATGGTTTTTTTAAAAGACACAAAAAATTCATGCAAGGAAGAGAAATCACAATTTAACATCTATACATAATCTTACGCATGACGTTTTGCATGAAAGAAATTGAACTGCGTCCAAAAGATAAATCAACTTTTTCTTGGACGAAAAGGGGTCCTCTCCATATCTCTTCCTCCTAATTCAACAAGTTCGGGGATCCGAGTCATTGAAATTTAATCCAACGGCTAAAATTATTATAATTTTTAAAGTGGGCCTCTGTTTGTAGCCATTAAATCAAATTTTAATGGTTCGGATCTCCAGACTTGATGGATTATAAAGAAGGAATCCGAAAATGATCCCTTTCCTTCTTGGACCACGCAATATTGTACAGTATGATGCTTTCAAACATTGGATGCCTCAGAAAATGTAAAAAGCTCTGTTAATCTTGTTTTAATCTATGGATTTATCCATTTGCTCAAGACTCAAGAGAAAAAGAAAGGCTAAAAAACCAAATCATAAATCCAGCAAAGGGGACAAGAATTAAAAGTGAGGGGTATCAAAGAGGTAAAGCAAGGAAAGGAACCCTAGAAAAGCAGGTTTGCCACCAAAGCCGACGTTCACCGCCCTGTGGTCCCTTCTCTCCGTACGGCAACCCAGGCCAAACAATTTGATTAATTTTACTAATTGTTTACTATAAATAAATAAATAAAAAGAATCAGAATATAAAAATTTAAAAACTATTATATACCTTTCACCAAAAACCATTATACAAGGAACAACTTCCAACCCTCCAAAGAATTTTCTGTTCTACGTACAACTGTGATTAAACATTAACATATATAAAAAAAAATAAAAAAAAAATAAAAAAATAAAAAGAAAAAGAGATTCAAAAAAGTGGGAAAATGGTGTGCCTCTTATTGTCTGGTCTTTTGTAATCTGTCTCCAATCATCCTGAGCTCAAACTTCTTCACAGAACCAGCAACCATTCTCATGGTTGTGTCCACAACATAAGGTATTTGGTCAACATTGGTCTCCGTCGTGTTGATCAGCTGCCGGCAGGGCTCACGCCGGGTGGCAATGGTTCCGTGGTAATGGAAGTACTTGATCCTTCTCTCCGTCTTGTGAGTCGTCTTTCCCGCTACATTCTGCGACATGTGAACGCCCGTGGCGTACACATTGCGCGGCTGCACCGCGTATTTCCGGTCCCTTCGTATTCCTCTCTTCACATCTTTGTACACAAGTTTCTCAAACCCCCATTTCCTGCAGCATCACAATGTGTTCGCATCAGCATGTGAACACAGATTATACTTCTATTGCCAGAAACCGATAAAATTGACATTGTCGAGCTTAGGTAAATTCTTTTTGTTGGTTCCGCTGAATTTACCCATTGGTATTTCTCAAGTCCCAACAAAACTGTCTTAATCTCTTAAGTTTTTAATTAATTTGATTGTTTAATGGTCAACATCAGTCTTAATCTTACTTAAATAATCAACAATACATTCAAACATGACTTCTTTTTCTTTCAACTGATTCATTTCTTCCCTGACCAAATCTTTCATTTCCAAATTAATATTTAGATCTTAACTAATAAACTAATATATAATTAACTTTGGTGAATTCAGATACTAAACTATGGCCAGACCATTGTGCATTTTACTTAAATCTTCTACCCTTTGTGCGTCTTAACTAATCAATTAGTGTAAACATATCGTTGTGTTCAAAAGTTTGCATCAATAATTTTTTCTTACCAAAAGAATAATGCTACACTTACCACGTATTTGTATTTGTATCGTCTTTCTGATAGATGTAGGTCCCACCAACACATGTGGGGTTAATTTCTATTAGAAAGATAATACAAATATGGTAAGAGTAGCATCTTTGCTACCGGAATTAACATATAATTTGGTAGTTGGGATCATGTTACATGCATCTTACAGAAGAAAAGAACATCAATAATTGAAGAAATATGCTTCACAACACAAAAGCAAGAGTACAAGAAAGATGGGTCAAAATGTTAAACTAAAAGAATAATTGAGGTCCTCCTCATGAATTAAAAAAACAATGACTTTAACAAAGTTCAAAGCCCCCACCCCACCACCGCCCACGTGCCCTAGTAAAATGAATGTGGAGGAGGACTAGGACTAGGACTCGGAGGACCCTTCAGCAAAAGCAGAGGAATGTGCCAGCAGAATAAACATTTCATGCCAACAGACAACTTGATCAAAATTTACATTTTCAACATCTAAATGCAAAAGGCTGCAAAAAAGTCCACCCGTAATTATGATTGCATTGCAATATACAGCAAAGGTGACAAACAATCTCATGCAATTATTGCCAGAATCCAATGCCCAACGACCAATTGAAATGCACAACAACGCATGAAATTGTGGAATTTGGCTTCATTTGCACACCAGTATAATCAACCCAGATGTCAATCAACAGCAGTAATTCAAAGATCTCACATTTCAAAATCTGAACTAATTATTTGAATCCGAAATCTCGTAGTAGTTTAGATTAGATTAATGAGAATATCGTTCGGATAAAAAATGCAGCGAACCCAATTCAGAAAATGCAAAAACAAGAGAAGCTTGATGGCAAAAGATGAGATGGGTACCTGTAAGTTTTGCGGTAATCTTCAAAGAGGCAGAGCTTGTTGCTCATCGGCATCTGCTCGATGGTGAACTGCGTGTAATCCGACAGGGAATCGAGCACCGACTTAATGTTGCTCTTGGGAGGCATGTAAATGTACTCGTCCACATCAAAGAAGAACATCCACTTCGCCATGAATTTATACCTGTGCAAGCAATCATTCACTACCATGAACTGGTTGTGGTAATACCCATCGAACCTCTCCTGCTCCCTGATGTCCTGCAGCGTCACGTATCCGAGCTCCATCCATGGCTTCAGAACCTCCAGCACCTCCTCATGGATCCCCCCGGCGTCGTGGATTACGAAATGGGATCTCGGCCCGAACAGCCGGACGTGGTAAGCAATCCACTCCCTCACTCTCTGGGGACTCAGATTTCCGAACAACGAAGACCCACAGTAGAAATAGTCGTATTTTGGCTTGGCGGTGAAGATTCCGGCGTTTACAGTTCCGGGGGCTTCGGTTAAGGCCTGTATTGTGTCGGTAGTGTTGAAATTCCGGTCTCCGCCGCCTTCGGTGGTGGCTAATAGGAGGAGCTTACCGCCGGAGTTGTCAGCATTGATGGGCTGGGAGAATGTGCAGTTCACGACCACGACGGTGTAGACCCGGCCGTAGCCCCAATCCGGGAGGATTTTATACCCGATTGAAGAAATGGGTGGGGTCGAATTGAGATTGGGGACCCACTGGCACTCGTACTTGGGGTTGGAGAAGACGTGGAGAGGCTTCGAGGCCAGACCCACAATGGCGAAAGTGTTCATCCCGCCTCTGTAAGTTCCCATGGTGATGAAGCTGTAGGCGGCGGAGCCGTACGGGTTGAACGCCCGTTTGAGGACGCCATTGCTGAGCACCTTGTCGAGCTCAACAGATGGCGGCGGAGGCGGCGGTGGCGTTGGCAGCGGGGAAGATGGTATTGATGATGGTGCTGGCGAAGAGAGTAGTGCTGCAGCTACGGCGGTTGCGTTGGCTATATCTGACTGGACCGGTGCTTGGGCGAGGGCCTGGACTTGGGCCGGAGGGATGACTCTGGAGATGCAGAAGCGGAGGTCGGAGGTGGAGAAGGTGAAGCGGGAAGGGATGAATTGGAGAAGAGTAGCTAATGTGCAGAGGATTAACAGAGCCGTGAGTAGTAGCTTCAGCTCCACGGCGTAGTTCCAGACGACTCCGACGGGCAGCTTCTTCTCTTCGCCATTGATGTGGGTAGAGCTTTCGTTTCTACTGAACCAGAGAGAGAAAGGAAAGAAGTTAAAATTCTCTCTCTCTCGGTGTCGTTTGCAATTCTTTTGTTTTGGGGTTATATATATGAGTGTATGTTATTTCCAGATGTGATTTAATGAATTTTTGTAATTTTTTTTAATAAAAAATATTATCTATATTAAATAAAAAGGGATGGGGTTAGTCTTATAATAGATTATAGATTAGTAATAATATGATTTAAATATATTTTTATCGAGAAATAAACTTAAGATCTCTTATTCACAAGTAAAAAAAAAAACTCTAAATTGTAGTACTAAGTGGCATATTTTATTTTTTATTTTTTTGAGGGAATAATTGTTTGGGGAAGGATGGAAGGAAAGGAGTGTTCGGGTTTTTGCCGCTTTGGTGAAGTTTTATATGCTTTTGAATAGTGTTGGGAAGCTGAAAAATTAACGGTGAGGATTAAATTGGCCACTTTAAAATAGTTTGGGGGTGAATTAGCTGAAAAATAATTTCAGGCGGTAATTGACAGTTAGTAATAAATAGGGGGCCCATAGTTCCAACGCTACTGTAAATTGGAATATTCTAAAAAAATGAGAAATGAAATCCCAATTAATCTTTTCCTTCTGCCACAAAATTCCAATAAATCAATAAGGTAAAAAAGTCTAATTAATCGACTAGGAGAATAATCACTTATCATTATAGTCCGATAGAATTTATTTTTATTTGTAAATGAAAGGTTTTAAATTTAATTTTAGAAATAAGCATTTATTTTAAATTATTTGTCATTTAGTACTACGGTTATAGTATTTTAACATCTGGCCGGTGCTGACACTTTCGGTCCGCTCACCACAGTAGCAGATATTCCGCTTGGGTTAATTCCCTACGGTTTTGTTTTTGGAACTAACGGCATTCTCAGTGGGTCACCCTCTGGAATGTCCGGGCTATCGCTTATCGGATTCCATTGAACCGAGTGAGCGCTCAAAAGGTCGTCCGTGCTAGGATGGGAATAAACATATAAGGATCACTCCCCTGGACGATGTGGGATGTCACATCTTCACTTGTGAGTGAGTGAGAGGTCTTAGGTAAAATTATCACCGCCAAAGACGAATTTGAACCACATTAGTATGTCTAGCCTATTGCAAGACTTAGCTCACTCCTCTATCACTTAAGTGTAGATGATATTGTTTGTTAAAAAAAAAAATTTAAAAATAACACATTCTTTTCTAAAATTATTATGATTGACCTATTGTACCACTTACTTCTAATCCCCCGATTTTGTTATAAATATATTATTTGTATTAAGAACAAACCTATTAATCAACTAGGAAGGAATAACCAAGTTATTCCTTGTGGAATGGAAAACCAAATTATCCAACTCTAAAGGTTCCTAATTAAAGAAATTAGAAACCTCAAAATCTATTTTTTGTTTTTGGTTTGTATGTTTGTCCGAAATCAAGCATTAGATTGAATATCTAAAACTAACTTGTTGCCTTTCTTGCGCTCTAATTAATTATTGGACTCGTGTTTTTATTTTATTTTATTATTATTTTTTTATAATTATGTGGTGTAATTTACTAAATTTCTAAATAAAAATTGTCTTAATTGTCGCCCTACTCACCAAATTTGCAACCTAAATACAACTCTAACGATGGACTATAAGTTGCTTTTACTTGAGTGGTAATGCTAGAGTGATCATATATCTAAATCATATTTTGTAAACTATATGACGTAATTGTTAATGATTAAATTATTATTTAAGTGTATTAACGTGTTTATTTCTTACTAGTAACACATTACATGATTTGCAAATGTGATTTGAAAAATTGATCTACCTAGCATTATTCTTTAGTTTGAGAATCCAAACTCCTTAGCCGGTCAAATTGTAATAAACTGCACATACGACTCTTTAAACGTGTATCATATTTTAATAGCAAAAGATAAATATGTGTACGTAATTTACCTGCAAACCGCACATATTAATCGAATTAGAGTTTACAACTTGTTTTATACTTATTTTTTTACAACCTCACAATATATAGATGTTCTTATTAAGAATGTAATGAAAAATGCAAAAGAAATGTATGATTGACGTTGGAAAAAAATGCAAAAGAAATTCAGAAGGAAAGACATTCAAATTAAAAATTACAAACAAAAAAGCAACACATATTTTGAGTTGTTTTTCACGAAATTTTGTTCCATTCATTCTTCATCTATTTCCTATCACCATTATTCATCCTTCATTTTCCTATATATTTTCCTCACATATCAAACGCAAAATTTGAAATAAACAAAAAAAAAAAAAAAAAAAAAAAAAAGGTTATCAACAGGTCCTTAATAGCTAATGTTTCGTTGAAGCATATCCCATATTGAAAACCGAATGAATTTAAATGCTCCTTCTATTGAAATAGTGAGCCGTTATACAGATTCTGAAGCGTTCAAGTTCCCCATTGTATCAAGATGTCGTTGTGTCGACATATCTTATCCAAATAGATATATATTTTTAGTTCAATTTTTCACATGAGATCGTGGCAAGTCAAAAAGTGCCTTTTTGTACTAAATTATGAGTATGATTAATGGTGAATTAATCACTGAACTGACTCTGTACTTTGAAATATTTAATCGCCATGAAATTGTTTAAGAAATATGGTGGAGGTTAATCACCACCCCACCCCAGCAGAATCCAAGTCAGGCGCGTCGGTGGCAAGGGGATTGACTAGGGGAAGTAGGATTCTCTCCCCTCCTATTCTCATCCCTTCACTCCCTTCTTCTCACACATTGATTTTTGTCTTATTGTTTCTATATAAAAAAAAATCAATATAAAATGTTGACGTGGCTTAATCGTGACCGTTCAAATAAGAGGAGAGTGAAGGGGAGAGATTAGGAGGGAAAGAATCCTCCTCCTATATATAGAAGAACAAATACCTCTTTTATTTTTGCTAAAAATAATAAAAAATAAGAGGTACTGGTTCTTCTATATATAGGCCTTTGGTGAGCCAAAAATGAAAAAGAAAATAATTGCACTATTAATGAGCGCTTCCTATAACCTGTATCATACATATACAGAGCACTACAATGGACGTAGCCCAGTTTTAAGAGGGAACCCCTTAAATTTTGTTGTCCATAACGTTAAATCTTTGCCCGAAGCCCACTAAGGGCTGACCATACTAATCTTTGTTGACGTCGCAATTTTGAGCTCTAACAAATTCTTAGGATTTTAAAATTAGATGAATTCCACCCATTATGTGTGTGCAAATGAAAAAAATGTAATATATATAGAGAAGTTTGAGAGAAATGTGTAAGAGAATACGTGAAAAGAGGTTTAAATTTTTATTTCTTAAAATATAAAATTAAAGATATACTATGATAACATGTGGGTGGAAGAGAAAAAAGAAAAGCAAAATTGGTTTTTGCAAAATTATATTATTACCTATAATTTTATCTTGCGATAGAAGATTAAATTATTTTTTCACACTCAAATAAAATTTTGTTAATAAAAATTGAATTGGTTGTTATTGTAGCTTAGTTTAGGGTGTTGCAGCCACCACCCAACTTTACTCTCGAAATTTGAATTACAGAGTTGCTCTATTGCCATCTCTCACGTTAGAAATCTCCAGAAAAACCAGAACTCATAACCCTCTCGGGTCCGGCGGTCCTCCCCTGGAACTCACCCCTTCCCCTTTCCCCGGCATGTAGCAGAGCATTTGCACAAAATATTCAACATCAATGAGCGAAGCTGCCAAGGTCATATCAATTTCAAACATTTACATTATTTCAAGTACAGTTTTGCCAATTTGATGTGAATTTGACATGAAAGTACTTCACATGCTCATCTAAAAATGTCAATGGTACGATGATACATTTGTTATTAATTATATATTTAGGACTTTGAAATGGATTTTAAATGAATTCGACAAGTGAATTATGATTTTAAAGATAATCGCTTTTATGTTTTTATATGCTCTGCAAAAATGAAAGATTTGAAAGGGTTTGATTATTTCAAACGGACGTGCATGGCCAGGGCGACCTCTTACCAAAAATACATGCACGCACAAGATTACATAACTTTATAGAAAACTGGACAAGGTCAATGCCATCTACTTATATTATACTTTACGCGTCAATTATTATTGATACACATAAATATTACTTCCGAAGATTAGACAATTGTAATTTTATATGTTCATTATTCATGTTAAGTGGTGTATTTAAAATGTATGGAAGGCAACACACGTACATGCAATTTGACAATTGATTTTCTTTACTTTATTTGATCTAAACAGTGAAAAACAAGTATAGAATGTGTATGTACAAAAAAAAAGTGTTAAAAACAGTTTGAAGAAAGAAAATAGGTTATGGGTGTTGTTTTCCATCTTGAAGAATGAATGAGCATTTTTGTTCTGATGGTTTGAGTTAGGCTGTCTGAGGTTTTTTCCTCCTTGTTTTACCAAAAAAAAGAATGAATATGCATTTTTTCTTTTCATTCATAAATTGTCTTGCCAAATTAATGACATGACAACTGGTTAATTAGGTCGAATGAATTCATAGTGCGACATTAAGCAAAATCTTTTTCTTAATGTCATACTATATACTAGCAAGTCGTGATTTGTGGAGAATAATGGTAAATAGACATCGTGTATAAATTTTTGGCAATTTATGGAAGCGGAGAAATCAATGTGAGAGAGGAGAGAGAGAAAACGTGGGATTTAGAGAGAGAGAGAGAGAGAATTGAGAACCATCATGAGGTGGATTAGTGTGTGACTTACACCGTGAGGTTTTTTATTAATTTGTGCTTCTTTTTTCTTCAAATTTTTTGTTCGATTTTTGCTCATTTATCGGCGACACTCTAATTCTTGGATTAAAACTTCAAGTTAAGTTTTGATTCAGAAATAATTTTTCTGCTCCAAATAGGTTAAATTTTAGTTCAAAATTATTAAAAAATTAATTTAGACTTTTTTTTAAATAATTTTAAAAAAAAATTATGTACACTATCTAAACTTAATTTTATAGACGTTTTAATCTAAAAATATTTAGAATCCGATAAATATTGAAAAATCATCAAACCTGACACTTATTAACTACATAAAATTAATTAGTAAATCATAATTACTAATTA